GTACACTGTCCATGATCCATATACCAAGTACTTTGAAGGAGGGCATGCTGTAGCTGGCCCAGCTGCTATTGCTGTCATTGGTCTCGCTATTCTGCCTTTTATTTTTGTTTTAGCCATGTCTAATTTTGAATTACCTAGTCGTATTTTTCGTTTGCATCGTTTCAAGCCGATATTTGATGAATTTCAGTCTTGCTATTTGGATAAATATCGTTGGTATTGTGTTGTATATTACATCTCGTTCATTCTCTATCTTATATTAGTCTTTGTTGGGAATCCTTTAGGCCCACAATTGCTACTAGTTCTATTGCTGTCTCTTCACTTTGTTGTACAACCATACAAAAAGCATATCCTCAACATCATTGACATGCTTCTCCTCCTTGATCTTTTAGTATTGTACTCTCTTCTTGAGAGAGAGGAAGAATTGGAGGATCGAAAGACAATTTATGCTAGCATACTGGTACACATGATGACATTAATTCCACTGCTTTATGTGGTGGTAGGGTCTATTGGTATATTCTGTTATAGGCTTAAGAGTAGCAGGTTCAGTATACAATGGAGGACAAGTCAGTCTCAGCCTTCAAGATCAATTAGGAGGACAGAAATAATAATGAATGATGATGAAGGTGAAAGGGAACCACTGATTGGTATTATTCAAGATGATGATGAAGATTGAAATGTGAATCAATTTAACTAATGAATTTGTTTGTTTTACTATTATGCTATTATTTTTGTTTGCTATATGTAGATCTATATAGCTCTCTCTAATATTTTTTGGTTAATTTCCTTTTTTTACATTGATTATTAAGAGATGTAGATCCATTGGCATTTAGAAAAGAAGATCAATACTGCTGAATGAATTTGTTGTTAATTAATAGCTGGTAATCAAAATAATAATAATAACATGAAACCACAAAAATAAGAAATTAAATAACCATTGACTGTAATTAGTTAAATTTAATATTGTCCGACTAAATGTTATTTCCCACATCTCTGTTGACTCTGTGCATATTGATACAGGACAGAATGAAATTCAAAGTAGCTGCATTTATAATGAGAAGATAACCACCTGTAAAATAAATAAAAGCATTTTTATCAATAGATTAACAATGACAATTGATTGCAAATAAATAGAGTGTATTTCAAACTTACTTACATTATTTCTGTGAGTGGAGATGTCCATGGAGGATATCCCAATAATGACTTGGTACTGCCACATACAATTACTAAATCAGGATCTGGTAGCAAATTCGATACTATTTTTAAAATAATAAAATACTATTATCATCATGATCATTGTCATTTATATTAATGTGCAAATCATTCATTAATATTTTCTATTATTTCTTACCGGATATTTTGCTGTTGATGATAGAAATGTCTACATTAGATTTTATTGATGAAGCCTGTGCCTCTTCACAAAGTGACTTGGCGACATTTACAATAGAGTTATGTCTATCATCACTTGATAGGAGCATAGGACCAGAAGCCACTGATAAACCTAGAGTACAAGCATTAGCATAATCCAGTGCAAATTATGTTACAACTGGACAATGTCAATGATACTGAATTTATCCAAAACAGAAAGTCAAAATATTATTATCATAATTAAGGTATTCAATAAAGATAACAGTTAAAAATGAATGGTAGTCCTTTGTGCGTGCATCTTTTTGGCCGGCCGGCCGGCCATAGCTAGCTTGTGGCGCCTGGGTGTGTAAATAGCTTTGTCAATATTGTTGATGTCATTGTCAAAGCTTTCGCTCACGTGGCCATTAAGTCCTGCTGTAATGGCGACTTTTTCTCCCCTCGTGTCGAGCCTCCTCGTGCTAATTGCTCTGATAGCCTTTGCTCATGCTGGAAGCATTGAAGTTCACATCATTTCTTATCTACCACCCAGTAAGTACAATTGTACACTAAATGCCAGTACTACAGGCCATATTATTTGCCCTACTCTGAGCACTGCATTGGAAAACTGTAAAAGCAATGAAACTTCCAACCTAATATTTATTTTACATAATCAGGATAATATTGAGACCTCCTTGTCGTATGAAGTGTCCAACACTGTTCACATACAAAGTAACGATGCCAATGAGAATAAAGCACAAACCATTTTCTGTGTTGATTATAGTTCATTAGAATTTATTTCTTCACTTGGTAACAATCAGTCGGTTCTCTTTTTCAATAATATCAAATTTGTTGGCTGTGGTAATATTAATAGTTTAGTCATAGGAATGAATATCTCTGGTGTGTATAGTGTCAATATAAATCTGGTATCATTCCACTATATGTTAGGCCTGTCAATATTAAATGCTGTTGACGTGGATATTAGGCATTCTAATTTTATATACTGCCACACTAATCCCTATGCTTCTTTGCAAATCACATATAACAATTTGATATCAGCTGCTGATGATGTTAATAATATTACTTTATTGAACTGTCGTTTTGAATTAAATCATGAAGTTGGAGATTATGACTCTTTGAAAGGTGTATCTGGAGTATTTGTTTTAAATCTTCCTCGTCTGAAAGATAAAGCATTTATAATTAGTTTGAGAGAGTGCTATTTTAATAATAACGTTTTACAATATTCTTATTTTCCTCCGATGTTATACGTGTTAAACTCAAGCAATTTAAGTGTTGAATTTACGATTGAAAATTCCTTCTTTACTAATAACAAGTGTCTTTCAGTTCTGATTGAAACATCTACACGATTATATATTGCTGAATTGTTGTCTATTAAATTGTTTAACGATTCATTTTTCAATAATAGCAATCTTTTCAGTGACTATGGTTTGATTCATACAAACATTGACTGTAAATTTGTAACTTTAAATTATAAGCAGTTGAATTTTGCTGAAAACAGTGGAAAACTAATTACTTCACGTGTTTCAAATGATACCATTGATTATACATTAGAAAATTGTTCTTTTGTCAATAATACAAATGGTAATAGTCTTGACTACTTAATAGCTTTTTACAGCACTCATGATGAACCACTTGCTAATAATATGACTTTAAAGGAATTGACTTATAAAGTTGGTAAGCCTCAAATTAGATCTAATGTCAAGTCTATATTTTACTTTCAATCAGTCAATCTTGTTGCTAAAAATTTGAACTTAACTGGCAGTGACAATGTAGTTGCTACAATGTTCATTCTTGACTTGGTAAATGCTGTTTTCAATGGTAACAATACTTTCTATTACAATGAAGGTGAACACGGTGGTGGTTTGGCTATGAATGGAAGCAATCTTACAATAACAAAAGGGTCAATCCTGACCTTTAACAATAACAATGCTTTTTATTATGGTGGTGCTATGTATATCAACACTACTCACTTCAACACTGCATTGATATGTAATGGTAGTATCAATTTTACTAACAATCATGCTCGTCTGGCTGGCCAATCAATTTATACCACGGATACTAATATCAATATTGATTTATTTGAAAAATGTTTTGAAGCACCTCTTGAAAATATTGCCACAGCTCCAGTAGAGTTTAATGCAACAATAATTTTGAACCATCACCCTTTCTTCCCAGGTCAGTTTATATTTTTGAATATATCTCTTGTTGATGGATTGGGCAATCCTGGTACCTGTATAGCTGAAGTTTCGCTTAAATGTAAAAATGCCAAAACTGGAGAATTTGTTTTTTGTGAACGACTTTATCCTAATATTGGTTTGCAGCTGTTTGGACCTAATTATGTTTACTTGTATGGCAAAAGCAAAATGGTAAATACTCTGCTTCGCTTTGGTATTAATTTTGATGCACATGAAAATGTTATAGCAACACCTCAACTGCATATTGCTTGTCAAGATCCACCATTACCAAATAATTTAACCAAAAAACTTTCTTTTTCTTGGAATAGCTCCTGCCCTCTGGGATTTATCAAAAATTCCATTATCAAAGTTTGTCAGTGTATCCAAATCCATGAAATATTGTGTCCATTTGATTCTATGGTTGCTTGTATAAAGAATGGCTATTGGACTAATGCCAATATCACGATTAAATGTCCCTATCCATTATGTGATTCAACCCATTTGCAAAATACTCCAGAAACACAAATCTGTCAACAATACTATGGGCAAAAAGTGATAGTATTACCTCAGTCTCCAGATGATCAATGTTCTACTAACCGGGGTGGTAGAATGTGTTCAAGATGCAGGGAGGATTATCATTTAACGTTTTTGGGGAAAAAATGCACAAGCAGTAAATGTAACACTCCCCTTTATCCAATCATTCTTACACTTCTTACCATAGTTTTTCAGTTTATGATTGCTCTGTTTATACTGGCTGCTGTGAGAATTAAACTGGAGATAGGAGCTGGTTTCATCTATGGCCCTTTAATATTTTTAGCAATTCTTGGTCAAATGCCTTTTGGCTATTATTCTCAGTATCATGTTTTGAAGGTTATTGTCAGTTCCATTACTTCAGTGTATCTAGTAAACCTGGAAATATTTGGTGAGATACCTTGGTGCTTTGGAATTCCTGACACAAAATTAACACTGATAAAATCATTTTATTTTCTTGGCCCACTTCTAGTGTGGATAATATTGCTACTATTGGTGGGAATGGGACGATGTTGCCCTCGTCTTCTTGATAAAATACAAGACTCACCAATGCAAGCTATCTGCCTATTGATGATGTTGTCTTTCTGGTCTATGACCAGTACTAGTATTCACATGCTTAGACCATTAAAAATTGGAACTTCATGGTACACTGCTCAAGATCCTTATGCCAAGTACTTTGAAGGGGACCATATTATAGTTGGTTTGGCTGCTATTGCTATCATTACTCTTGCTATTCTACCTTTTATCAGTGTTTTAGCCATGTCTAATTTTGAACTACCTAGTCGCATTTTTCGTTTGCATCGTTTCAAGCCATTATTTGATGAATTTCAATCTTGCTATTTGGATAAACATCGTTGGTATTGCATTGTGTATTACATCTCATTCATTCTCT